CAGTGAAGGGTGTTGGGAAGCGGAGCATCTGGGAGGTGGTTAGGATGAGACCAGGTCTTCAGGGTAGGGACTCAGGGTGGCCCCGTAGAGAAGGAAGAGGGAACTGAGCCAGCCCACCTGCTCACTCACCATGTGTTGCCCTCCATCAGTTTATTTGATTTATTTATTTTTTGGTGCTGGGAATCTACCTCACAACCTTGCGCTGCCATGCAGGCGTTGTGCCGCTGAGCTATATCTCCGGGCCCCTCCACCAGTTTATGCGTCAGCCGGTGAATGCTTTGGACCTCCCAGCCTCCAGAACTGTGTGCCAAATAAACCTCTATTCCTTATAAGTTACCTGGCCCCAGGTATTTTGTCATGGCAACAGAAAGTGGATGAAGGCAGCCAGCGCATCTGAGCTCCCAAATTAACGTTGGGAGCCTGGTTTCTGACGGTGGGAGAAGGAAATTAGAAAGAAGTCAGGGGCCCGGGAGAAGACTTGGTGCTGGATTTGAATTAGGGCTGTTGACATTCATTTGTGGTTTTCATGACAGCTGGGTCAGGGTTAGAGATGCAATTCAGTGACTGAGCCCTCGCCTAGCATGTGCAAGGCCCTGGATATGATCCCTAGCACTGCAAAAATAAAATAAAATAAAATAAAATAAAGGTAGGTGGGTGAGTGATGAGACAGAAATGTAAATGCCTCTATTTAGGTACATGCATGCATATGTATTGTGAGGAGAAAGCCAAGGACTACTGATAGCGTAGTGGCAGCGAACACATTTCTCTCCCAGAGCTTGATTTCTAAACCTGCCATTCCCTACCAAAAGGAACCAGGCGTTCTTGGAGAAATGCCTGATGCCCAGGCAGGGCCGGGGCCAAATACAAGAGAAGTCTGCCTGGAATGCCTCGTTGAGCCAGTAAGTAAAGGATGTGTTTCAAGGTGGAACTGGACCATCCTCCACTGGCAGCAATCAGAATAATGTGTACTTCAGACGAGAGGCGTGGATGAATGTTAAATTGGTGGGCAAATATGTGTGGAGAAATACGATGTTTATTTAGTTTCAAAATATCTTCCAAGAGCGCTTACTGACAAGTTCCATGTGCTAACCCACGGTGGAGAAGCTGGTGGGTACCATTTCAACCAAGATAGCACAATCAGTAATGAAAAAGTCCACATCATATACATCCTAAGAATAAGTATTATTTCTGTATTTCTTGCCACAAATCTACAATCATGAGGAAATCTTAGGTGAATCCAAGGAGAGAGACTTTCTACAAAATCGCTAGCCTATAATTCTCCAAAGTGTCAAGATCATACAGGCAGCAAAAGATTGAGGCACTGTCCCAGATAAAAGGAGACTAAATTAGAGGAATAAAAGCAAAATACAGGGCTAGGGATTTAGCTCAGCAGCACAGCTCCTGCCTGGTAAGCACAAGGTCGTGAGTTTGATTCCTGGTACTGGAAGAAAAAACAAAAAACCAAAAAGGTAATATTAAAAAAAAAGCAAAATACAACATATGAACTAGGGATGGATTTCAGATCTTTAAAGACTTTTTGGGGTGGGCTGGGGATTTAGCTCAGTGGCATAGCGCTTGCCTGGTAAGCAGAAGGTCTTGAGTTCAATTCCCGGTACCAGGAAAAAAACCAAAAAAACAAACAAACAAAAAGACTTTATGGGAAACTGAATGGAATTTGGGAATCTTATGGTAATATTGGCTCTATAATAACTTTCTGATTTTGAAGGTTGTACTATGATTATGTGTAAAAGTATGCTTATATATTTTGTATTAAGTGTTCATGGGACAACATGTCTATAATTCAAGGGTTTTTTGGGGGAGTAGGTTTCTTTTTAATTTGTTTGTGTATTTGTTTTGGTCTTATTGAGACAGGGTTTTGCTATGCAGTTCATGCTGGCCTTAAACTCACAGCAATCCTCCTGCCTCAGCCTACTGATTGCTAGGATTACAGGCATACACCGCCATGCCTGGCTTGGGGGAAGTTTTTGAGACAGGGTCTCACTATGTAGTTCAAGCTGATCTTGAGCTCACTATGTAGCCCCGGCTTGCCTGGAACTCTTAGTGGTCCTCCTGCCTCAGCTTCCCATGTGCTGGGATTACAGGCATCCGCCACCATACCCAGCTATAATTTAATACTCAAAGGAGCCAGCAATGTAAAAATATATATATAGAACCTGGGAAAAGAATTTATAGGAACTCTCTGTGTATCACATCTGCAACTTTTATGTAAGTTCAAACTCACTTTAAAATAAAAATTTAAAAATGCTTGCATTTAAACATATTTGATGTAGGCCAGGTGTGGTGGCGCACACTGGTAATCCCAGCACTCGGGAGGCTGAGGCAGGAGGATCGTTGTGAGTTCGAGATCAGCCTGGGCTACGAAGTGAGCTCAAGGCCAGCCTGAACTGCATAGTGAGACCCTGTCTCAAAAAGACAACAAAACAAAACAAAACAAAACAAACAAACCATATCTGATGTATTTTGATCTGCTGCAAATAACATTTTAAAGCCTAATTGAGTCAGGCATAGGGGCACACACCAGTAATCCCAGACTCTGGGAGGCTGAGGCAGGGGGATTACAAGTTCAAACCCAATTTGAGGAATTTGGCTACTTAGCAATACTCTATCTTGTCCAGCATGAGCAAGACTCATGGGTTTGATCCTCGTTACTACAAAGAAAAAATGAAATTTATTCAGAAATGGCATTGCAGGAGAATGCACATGCCATTGTAGAGGATATGTGATTTCAAAGGGCTTGAGAGAACAGAAGCTTTCAAAGTCAAAATGAGGAGAATTATGTAAGTTATTTTGAACCACTTATCTTTGGCTACAAGGATTAATAACATGAGTAGTGTCAGCCCAAGGTTACACGGATGATTTTAGGGCCACGACCTCCCACAAGTATTTTTGCATAAGGTTGTGATGTCTTTCCGAGGTTTGTGTGACAGTTTATCTCAAGCTTTTTGAAATGAGTGCCTCTCATTCTTAACTTTTCAGGTTTATTTTTCATTTCTGCTGTTTTTAGTCACAAAAGTGACTCTATTTTGTTTCTAACGGCTTTCATGATCCATGATTAATCTCTGTAAAACGTTGTGACTTATCTTTCCATTTAAAAATAGAAGCTGCCAGCCTTGGTGGTGCACACCTGTAATCCCAGCACTCAGGAGGCTGAGGCAGGAGGATCGTTG